AGGAGGAGGAAACATTACTCTTCATTTGGTAAAGGTGGAATCCGAGCAGGACGTATTCTTCCGTGTTTTATAACTTTTAGTATCAAGCCAGAATTCTTCTCACAGAGCTCCATGTGCCCTCCCTCTTATCTCAGGGTGTGGCCCATTTATACAGTCTTTCTAGCCACCTCAAGATCTCTGGCTCCTGAGTCTGTTATTTCTGCCTTCAAATAAGCTTTAGTTAAAAAGAAACAAAATTTTTGTTTACTTTCAACTGTAGTCCTTTGTCTCATATTGCTTTCACAATCCAATTTCTTGAGCTATTAGGAATGATTTTCTCTCACTTCTTAATAATCTATAGTCCAGTTTCTACCTCCACACTTTCATTAAGTCCTTTTTCTCTGAAGTCCTCATTGACGCTTTAAAACAAATCTAAAGGTTGGTTTCTTCATTGCCCTTATTCATCTTGATCTCCCTTTTTCAAATAATGAAGCTAATATCCATCTTACTAAATATCTCTTCTCCTTTTATTTACAAAGCACCCAAGAATCTCTCAGTCCCTTCCTAATCCTCACAACCGGGCCTTTTCTTTATTCTTGCCTCAACTTAAAATTCAGTTGCCACCCCTCTTCTCTCCTTCATCTATTCTCATTTTCTCAGGAAATTCATCTGTTCTCAAGACTTTACCTGATGGCAAGAGCAAAGCAGTGGGGCCTGAAGCCTGGCTCTATGACTTAGTAGCTATCAGTTTAGGATAAGTGATTTCAAATACCTGAATTCAGTTTCCTCTGCTCTAAAATCGGGATTCAGTAATTCATTCAACAGTTTTTATTGAGCATCTACTATGTATCAGGCACTGTTCTAGGTACATGTGATTTATTAGCAAATGAAACAGATAAATATTCCTGCCCACACAGAGCTCCTATTCTAGCAGGGAGACAAACAAAAATAATAAACATAATAAATAAGATAATTATATAAAATAACAGAATATGATGAGAGCTATAGAAAAAAATTAAAAGTCAGATTACATCATTTAAAGGTGTTCAAGGTAGGCTTCCCTGAGAAATTATTATGAGCAAAGACCCAGAGGAGGTGAAGGAGTTGGAAATGAGGGTACCTGCTGGAGAGGGTGCAGGCAGAGGGAACTGACAAGGATCCTAACGGCCAGGGTAGGCTCTGCTTGTTCTAGGAACACCAAAGAGGCCAGTGGGAATGGAGTGAAGTGAGTACAGGGAAGACCAGAGAGGAAATCAGGAAGCCAGTCCATGTAGGACCTCTGAATGTGACGGGAGCTGGTGCAAGGAGACACGATCGGATTTATGTTTTAAAAGGATCACTATGGCTGCTGTGCTGGGAAGAGACTGTGTTGGGAGCTGGATGAAGCAGAGAGGCCAGCTAGGAGGCTCTGTCGGTAATTCAGGCAGGAGGTGGTGGTGGCTAGTACCAGAGTGAGAGCTCTAGAGAGGAAGAGAGGTGGCCAATCTAAGATAGTAAAACCCACCTTTTAGAATCTTATGAGAAAATAACTGCAGTTAAAGTGCCTAGTAGATGCCTGGTACAAGGAAGATGTTAAATAATACACTCTTTTATGTTATATTTTTCAAGTAGAATAGATAATATGAAGGAGCTCAAAGCTAGAGTATGATATTAAAGGTCAGTTGACCTGGGAATTGGAAGCTGCCCTCATTGGAAGTCATGAAAGGAGGTTAGGCTGAGAAAGGAGCTTAATCTCCTTTCAGCCTTCACCTCACATCCCAACTTGAGGACAGTATTTCCAACTTCTGACAAAACACTTCCCTTAAACATTTCATCACATACTCAATATCAATGAATATTTATTTTTAAAATTTACCTTACCTCCATTTCAAGCCAGTTACCAATCTAAATGTTTCCTTCGCCCTAGCCAGTTTGGCTCAATGGCTAGTTAGAGCGTCAGTCTGTGGATAGAAGGGTTCCAGGTTCGATTCCGGTCAAGGGCACGTACCTCGGTTGCAGGCTCCTCCCCAGCCTGAGCTGTGGTTGGGGGCATGCAGGAGGCAACCAAACAATGTGTTTCTTTCATATTGATATTTCTCTCTGTCTTTCCCTCTCTCCACTCACTCTAAAATCAATGGAAAAACATCCTCTGGTGAGAATTAAAAAATAATAATAATAAAATAAGTGTTTCCTTTGATTAAAGATATGCCAGTCCTACAGGTTGAAGACAGCTTCATCTTTGTAGAATTATGAAATAAAAGGATGCTGTCATTGGAAGTTGGTATTGTGGCCATTATCTGCTTAAAAAACATCTCTGTTTACAAAAGAAGAACTGAGGCCCAGATGCAGCATAACTAGCTATGGGCCACTCCAGGCTTTAATGACTGAGCGTGGCCCAGAACCAGTTTCCTGGAACCCTTCTCCAATAACCCGCTTCCCCTCCCTCCATTCCCCCATCCACATGACAGCAGTCCCTCAGATTGGCTGCCGTCTCTGGACTGGTCTCCACCACAGCTGCTTTGACCAGCTTTCCAGTGATTGGCAGTTAAGCCAATCAGACAGGCTATGGCAGGCCATGGCCTATGCTGCTTGAAGTATGCTGGCTCTGGGTTCAAATCCAGGCTCTGCTCTTACTAGCTGTGAGGCCATCAGCAGGTTTCCTAACTATGTTCTGCCTTAGCTTCTTTGTCTGGAAAATGCCTAGCTCCCAGGACTTAAGTAGCATATGACACATAAAGCTCTTAGCACAGATTCAAGCACAAAATAAGAGTCCAAGAAGCATTAGTTATTTGTGGGTTATATTACTACTCTCAGTGCCTTTCAAAGAAGTTGCCATGGGTGCTCATCCACTGAACAAATTCTAATTGCCTGAGTCTGGCCACTGGGGCCTTGCAGCAACCGGGTCTATCAAATGGATGGAAACTTCCATTGCTTTCTGATCACAGCCTTCCAGTCAAAACAGCTCGCTATGTTCCCCCATATCATGCTCATTCCCAATCCTTACCTATGTTTCAGTTTATGCTCCTCCTACATGAAATGCCCGCCTTCCTTCTCTCTAACTTCCCAGCTCCACTGATATTACTTCTTCTCTACAATACTGTAGTATGTATATGCAGCACGTACTGATCGCTTCCTTGAGGAGGGCATGGAAGCATTTAATTGTACCATGGGTTCCAGAGCAGACCGCCTGATCTCTCACCCATAAAATGGTGTTAATATTAGGGTTGTTGTGAGGATTTGACAAATAAATACTTTGTAAAAACAATTATTAATATGCTATTATTATATATTGCTATTAACTTCCCCTCTTTTCTTAATGTACCTTCATTTTCTTTCTATAGGTTATTCTGTCCATATGTACTACAGCAGTCCCCCCTTACCCATGATTTTACTCTCCATGGTTTCAGTTATCAACAGTCAAATGTAGTCCCAAAATATTAAATGGAAAATTCCAGAAATAAACAATTCATAAGCTTTAAATTGCATACTGTTCTGAGTAGCATAATGAAATCTCACTCCATCCTGCCCAGGATGTGAACCATCCCTTTGTCCAGTGTATCTACATTGTAATACGCTACTCGTCCATTAGTCACTTAGTAGCTGTCTAGGCCATCAAATTGACTGTCATGGTATCACAGTGACCCCTGTTTTACTTATAATGGCCCCAAAGCACAAGAGTAGTGATGCTGGAAATTCAGATATGCCAAAGAGAAACCCTAAACTTCTTTTTTTAGGTAAAAAGGTAAAAGTTCTCTACTTAATAATAAAGGTAGAAAAATCATATGCTGGGTTACTAAAATTTATAGTAAGAACACATCTTCTATCCATGAGATTGTGAAGAAGGAAAAAGAAACCCATGCTCGTTTTGCTGTTGCACCTCCAACTGCAAAAGTTATGGCTCTAGTGTGTGATAAGTGCTTGGTTAAGATGGAAAAAAAAATATATGCAATCTGTGGGTGGGAGATATGAACAAAAAGCATTTTCCAACTGACAGCAATGTGTTGCAGTAGAAAACGTTGAGCCTATATCAACACGCCAGCAAGAAGTCCCCTAATATGAGTGACACTAAGCCATTTACTGCAAGTAAGAGATAGTTATAATAAGATAGTTTAAGAGAGAAAGACCGCATTCACATAACTTTTAGAACAGTATACTGTTATAATTTTTCTATTTTATTGTTAGTTATTGTTTACTGTGCCTAAGTTATAAACTAAGCTTTATCATATGTATGTATATATGTATGTATAGAAAAAATGTAGTATATAGATAGGTTCAATACTGTCTCTGGTTTCATGTATCCACTAGGTGTCTTAGAACGGATCCCCTGTGGATAAGGGGAATTACTCTATACTTTTATCCAGTCTTAAATCACATCCTATAGTATAAAGCTCAGTCCTGAGGATTTTGATGTCTGTCCTCAAAGGTTTCACCACATCTAATAATTCATTCTAAAAGTACAGATTTACCGAAAATATCAAGTCCCCATCTCAGAGCCCATGGGTGGTACAGAGTATAGGTAGCACGGTTATTAGCCAAGGGCCTCAAAGAAGAGAAAGACTGAAGCAAAACAAAGTTTCCAAAAAATATCTGGTCTATTTCTACAGGAAGTTAACAATGGAGTTGTGGAAGCTATTCTGGAGTTAGAACAAGCAAGTGAAAAAGCACTGAGGGCAACTGGAATATTCTATTCACATATTCCTGAGACATGGGTGTTTGCACAGCTACTGCTCTCCTTTACTCTGTATTCCATCCACAGGGTCCCACCACTCATCAGGTGCTGTGTTAGGTTTGGGCACTACAAACAAGAATTCTATACCAGGTAGGGGTACACCAAGCTAATACATTGACAAGGGATGTTCTCAATGACACATACTCTGTCACAGTGCAGTGATCATGTGCTTTTTCTGTCTTTGGGGAATCAGTTATGTTTACCAAAAATAGCAACACATTTTACATGAGTGGAGAGAGTTGAACTTTTTCCAGCATGACTTCCAAAAATCAGGTAAGGTAAGAAATCACTCAGATTAATTAGACTAGCTTACCTCTATTTTTTCCCATATGGCTTCATAATTGTCTTGGTGTTGAATATCTTGCATAAGTTTCTGAATTAAAGCAGATTTTTTGGCAGCATGGCTCTCATTTTTCTCAGAAGGTAAAGCTCTCTCTGAATTCTCATCCATGTATTTTTTCATGCCAGAGAGAGGCATACACAGCTCCTCGTCAGAAAGAATGTCACTCAGGGGCCCAGACTCAATGCTCTCCCCCAGCGAAGAGGCTATGTCACTGGATGAACTGGGAGACACCCTGCCTAGCCTTGTACGCTTCTTCTTAACATGGTACGTTGGATAGATCTCAGAATCTGAATTCATTTCAGACAGTTCCCAGTCATCGATATTCTGAATGGTTTCTCCTCTGGGTTTTGGAGGCAGAAGCTTTGTTAAGTTTTCCAACTTCAAAGCTAATACTTCTGTCTGCTTAAGGTGAGAGGGCAGTGCCAGGTACTCATCGGAGCCATACCAGGCCTCCACAACCTGACCATTCCTTGAGACGTGACTTGGGGAGGAGGAGTAACTTTTTTTGCTTTTGTGTTTTGAAAGAAGGGGTACCGGAGACATGACACTGTCCGAGCCAACAGGAGATCCGCTGCTTTGAGTAAATGGTGGGGAACTGGATGTTTCTGACTGCGCTGGTAATTTGGCATTCCAACTGCTCTGAGGATACGGCTCAAGAGAGGATGTAGAAGCAGAATCGGTTTCTGGCCCCTCCACGGCCTTGGAAGTACAAGAGGGAATTCCGTTCGGCACTCTGGAGCTCCTGGTGATTTCGGTTTGCTTGCCGGAACCAGTTCCCGCTTTAGGGGTTTGGCACGGAGGCACCTCTTCTGGGCTCTTATGTGGCTTTTTAAGTCGAGGTTTCTCTTTGTGGCAGTTGTTGAGCCTTCCCAGGCTGGAGGAGATTTCTTTCATGTGACTTTTGACTGTGTTTTCAAGATTCCCGCCTCCCATCTTGTGCAGACACTCGTAGGACTGGCTGGCGGCTGAAGGGCTGCTGGGGTAGGAAGCCTGCAACACCAGGCAGAGCTTGGATCTGTCAGGAGGATCCACCAGGGAAGGGGTGCTTCTGCTCATCTCGGGCTTGAGATCAACCATCTGCCTCTTTCCGTCAGCACCTCTCAGGTTATTCTTAAAAGCGTCCTCTTTAAGGAAAAGCCCTCTTTTTGGCAGCGTGGGCTGTGTGGGGGAGTCCTCGTTATAATTAAAGCAGTCCCTGATGGATCGCTTGGGGGTTGTGTTCTCACAGGGAAGAGGCTGTTGGTTCTTTGCTCCAGGTTGGGAGGGAGAATTGGATTCTTGCTTCGAGGTCTTAGAAAAGGACTGGCCAGTATTTGTCAGGGCTTCCACTGGAGATGACATGCCCTGCTTTGAGCCTGGTGGCTCCTCGACTGCGGGAGCCTTGTTTTCTTCACAACCACCTTTATCATCTGCCGAGAGAGAACCTTGAGCTGCCCCCTCACTCACTGCTTCGCTGCAGTTGGAAGCGATGGGGTCAGTGGCCACCGTCAGCAACCCCACACTTCGGATAAGCTCAGGGAACTCCTTCTCCATCTCACCGTAGCTCCAAGAGTCAAAGGGTTTGCTTTTGACCTGGCTCATGTCACCCAGGCCGCCGAGCAAATCCTCACTTGGACTATAGTCAGACAGTTCAAATGCAGTAATTCCACAATCCAGAGACAAGTAATTTTGAGAGCATTTGATAGTTAGCTGTCCTGAGTCATCCACTTCCGTTAGAGAATCGAGCCGGCCCTGAAACAGACAATGGCAGTGGTTTCAGTAAATGGAACATCAATTACACTCAGCTGCTGTTCAAATGAAATCTCAGCAGAGGCCGCTAAGAAGGTCAAAATGCATCAGTCTCCGTTGCTTCTGGTTTGACATACAGAATGGCATATTACTCAATTATCACATTACTTTATATAATATCCTGTTCTTAAATATTCAAAGATTTTTCTTTAATCTAGAGAATAAAGCTTCGATAGAAATGGTCAAGGTCAACCCCAAAATATCTATTCTTGCCTTAATGTTCTATCTTAAAATAATGCATTGTTCAGTTAATAAACATTTTTTAAATGATGTAATAAAACTTCTGGGAACAAATCAATGTAGGAATAACGTCTCCATGAGTGTCTCTTTTGCTTATTGCTATCACTCCACCTACCACAACTGGCTAACTCATAGTAGATGCTCAATAAGTATTTCTAAAGTGTACTAAGTCTGTCACGTTAAATATATATTCACAAATCCCAGGAAGGTGAAATGTGAATTTGCATATAACAAAAGCAATTCAAGACTAGCTTCTATTTCGCCCCACCCTTTCTAAGGTAAACACACAAACTCCTGGAGAAAATTATTCAGTACCAAAACTTTATCATCTTAGCTCCCATCACTCTGCGTGCTTTTCTCCCCTCGCCTCCCCACCCCCACCCCTGCTTCCATTTGTTTATACTAGATACCACCTCCATGTTATTTATAATTTGGGGTAGGCCAGTTTGAAACTTCTCTATGCTAAAAAATAGTAGTACAAGCAAGTATTTTAAGTTTTTTAATCTTTAATTATGCAATTAAGGTTTTAGTCTCATTACTAACGCAGTTTCTGGCATCACACAGCCAACAATTTTTCACTGATGATTTGTTCGGGATGAAAGGAATCCCATTATGTGAACCAGGCTGAAGGACAGCCTGGTCTTATCTAGTCCCTTAGGAGACGAAGGATGGATGGAAACGGAACTGTTACATCCACAGATCTCCGTTCTCCTGAAGGAGAAACCAGGTGAGCAAACTGAAGCTGGACCTCATGTAGCTGCTGCACCCTGTGTCCCTTCAACCAGGTTACCCTGAGTTCTGACCTCTCTATAGGTTTTTCTGTTCATTTGCTTGCTGTGTTTTGGCAATGTTCTCTTCCTTCAGACCTTTAACTTACCTTTATCTCCTACTCCCCTCACTCTCACTCTGTATCATCCAGATAAATAATAATGATGAAAGGCCTCATTTCACCTTTCTAAACCTCAGTTTCCTCCTCTATAAATGGGGATGGTTAATTACTACTATTTCTTTTTCATTTAAATCTCCCAACAACTTTCTGGGAAAATTGGACAGATATATGCAATAAAATGAAACTAGACCACCAACTTACACCATACACAAAAATAAACTCAAAATGGATAAAGGACTTAAATGTACGACAGGAAACCATAAAAATTCTAGAAGAATCCAAAGGCAACAAAATCTCAGACATATGCCGAAGCAATTTCTTCACTGATACAGCTCCTAGGGCACTTGAAACTAAAGAGAAAATGAACAAATGGGACTACATCAAAATAAAAAGCTTCTGCACAGCAAAAGAAACCATCAACAAAACAACGAGAAAACCCACTGTGTGGGAAAACATATTTGCCAATGTCATATCTGATAAGGGCCTAATCTCCAAAATTTATAGGGAATTCATACAACTTAACAAAAGGAAGATAAACAATCCAATCAAAAAATGGGCAAAGGACCTAAATAGACACCTTTCAAAAGAGGACATTCAGAAAGCCAAGAGACATATGAAAACATGCTCAAAGTCACTAATCATCCGAGAGATGCAAATCAAAACAACAATGAGGTACCATCTCACACCTGTCAGACTGGCTATCATCAACAAATCAACAAACGACAAGTGCTGGAGAGGATGTGGAGAAAAAGGAACACTTGTGCACTGCTGGTGGGAATGCAGACTGGTGCAGCCACTATGGAAGACAGTATGGAGTTTCCTTAAAAAACTGAAAATGGAACTCCCATTTGACCCTGTGACCCCACTTCTAGGAATATATCCCAAGAAACCAGAAACACCAATCAGAAAGGATATATGCACCCCTATGTTCATAGCAGCACAATTCACCATAGCTAGGATCTGGAAACAGCCTAAGTGCCCATCAGTAGATGAATGGATTAGAAAACTGTGGTACATCTACACGATGGAATACTATGCTGCTCTAAAAAGGAAGGAACTCTTACCATTTGCAACGTCATGGATGGAACTGGAGAGCATTATGCTAAGTGAAATAAGCCAGTCAATGAAGGAAAAATACCACATGATCTCACTCATTCATGGATAATAGAGACCATTATAAACTTTTGAACAATAATAGATACAGAGGCAGAGCTGCCTCAAACAGATTGTCAAACTGCAGCAGGAAGGCCGGGGAGGGTTGGGGGGCAGGAGGTAGGGGGGTAAGAGATCAACCAAAGGACTTGTATGCATGCATATAAGCATAACCAGTGGACATAAGACATTGGGGGATAGGGGAGGCTAGGGGACTGTCTGGGGGGGGGGGATAAAATGGACACATATGTAATACCCTTTGTAATACTTTAAGCAATAAATTAAAAAATAAATAAATAAAAATAAATAAATAAATAAATAAATGTCCCAACAACTTTCTTCCGGTGTTGGGTCTATATTATTGTTTTATATAACCAGAGCCTGAGCCAAAAGAAGGTACATAACTACCAAATGTCCATACTCTGACCTTGGTACCATAATTTTCTGTGGTTCATTAGATATTATTTTAAACGGACATATCCCCTACTCCAGTTTGTTCTCCACATTGCCACTAGAGTAAGCTTTACAAATCTGTTATGGTTAATTCTCTGCTTAAAGTTCTTTATTAGTGTCCTGCTAAGTAAACCCAAACCCTTCCAAGAACAAACATGGCTTCACTGGACCACAGTGTCTGCCTGCCTCAGGCCTTTGCACATGCTATTTCCTCTGTCAGGAAAGTTTCCCACCTATAATACCCTGTAACTTATGAATTCTTACCCCCTCAGACCTCAGATTAAGTTGTATTTCTTCAAAATTCCAAACCCTCACCTAAGTCAGAATCTTTCCTTAGAGACTCTTGTAAAACTATGTTGTTTTTCCTTTACGAATTTGTCTCAATGTTTAAATAAATACTCTGTGGTTATTTCATTACCTTGTTTCTCCCACTAGTGTGTATGCACCACAACAGTATAAATCACATAGAAAATGGCTGACTCACCAGGATATCTGCAACACTTAGCATTGTGATCTGCATAGAACAAGCACTCAAGACATATCTGTTGAATAAAATTTCAGGGTGGGGAATCTTTTTTCTGCCAAGGGCCATTTGGATATTTATAACATCATTCAAGGGCCATACCAAATTATCAACTTAAAAATTAGCCTGCTATATTTAGTCAAACATTTAATTAACTCACTGCTAACGCCTTGGCAGGGCCAAACCAAATGATTTTGCGGGCCTTCTAAGGCCTGGAGGCCGGATGTTACCCACCCCTGCAATACATGAATGAATGATGACATTTTGGAATGTATCTCTACGCCTTCATGTAACTTCTTCTTCTGATTATGTAGCTTCAGTTGACTCCAGTGATGACAAGCCCAAGCTTCGGAGTCAAATTCTACCTCTAGCACTAGTTAGTCATGTGATCCTTCATCTGTAAAAAAGGAATAATGATAAGCCATGTCATAGCGCTGTTGTGAGAGTCAAAAGAGGTAATATATGTAAAACACAAGTCTGACACATGGATAGGTATTTAATGAATGTTCACTCATATTATTATTTTACTATTCAAGTATATTTAGGGAGAAACTTTTATCAAAATGAGAGATATCCTTTTGGCAATTATACTGCACAAAGTGAGAAAACAGTATTAACTGCCAAAATGATCTAAATGGAATTTTGTGGCTTTAATGCTGCATACCTGGACCAGGATCTTTAAATAACAAAGTCAGAAGCCAAAAATCACCAAGGAATGAGACAGCCAAATAAAGTCACACTTTATACAATTTTTAAAGAAAGTACCATATTTTTCTGTGTATAAGACGCCCCCCACTTTTCCAACCCCAAATTAAGAAATCAATATTTTAAACATTTTGCTGGTTTTCCTCTTAAGGTCTTCTTTTTTGGCATCTTAAGGAGTTGTTCTTCCTGTTTTCTCCACTGTCTGATCATACACTCAGTGGGAGGAGGTCCAAATTGTCTCTCTGCAGCTCTATTTCCATGCTCTTTTACAGAGCTGGTTACATTCAGTTTGAATTTTGCAGAGTAAGACAATCGCTTACCAGTATTTATTTTTTTATTTTTTGACATCTTTATGGGCTCAGAATGCTCTGATCCCTGTTGCATCTGTGCACTCTCCACCTCCACCTCCAATTACGGCATCAGCTGACGTCAGTAACAATAAGGGTCATGGTTGGAGGAAGCCTGTTTGACAAGGTAAGGGCAGCTACGCACCCACCAGGCTCCCTCCTCGGCTGACTTCTGTGTATAAGACGCCCCTCGATTTTCAGTCTAATGATTTTAGAAAAAAATAATGTCTTGTACATGAAAAAATACGGTAATGTTGGGGATTCCAATTTAAAGGCAGGTTGTGTTTTTATTTTTTTAATTTAGTGGCTTAGTATTCAGAAATTACTCCTTTTTGAAAATGTATTATAGCCGAGATGGACAGCATGGCTCAGTGGTTGAGCATTGACCCATGAACCAGGAGGTCATGGTTTGATTCCTAGTCAGGGCACATGCCTGAGTTGCGAGCTCGATCCCCAGTGTGGGGCATGCAGGAAGCAGCTGATCAATGATCCTCTCTCATCATTGATGTTTCTGTCCCTCTCCCCTCCTCTCTGAAATCAATAAAAAAATATTTTTAAAAGTGCATTATAAGTGATGGGTAAGTTCCAAGCTATCCCATTAGTTGATATTTAAATTACTAACTAGTTGAAATTT